GAGGTACCTAGAGTTGGACACGGGATGAAAGAGAAACACTGTTTGAATGTCATTGTGCTTGGGAGAAGGACATGTTCACAAACCTACTAATAAATGGAAGTATTCCTATGGTACTTACCAAGTATGTGCGGTCTTGTCGCTGTGGCAGATCCTCGTCTATCAGCATGCCACTTCTGTTCTTTCATTTTCGTCACAAACCACTTCCTAAAATCCGTGATGCTGACCGGCCGGTCGGCACGGACACCGGTTTTGATGACAAAGGCGGTAATCTGCTGGCCGTTTGTGCCCTTTTGGGTAGGGTGCGCCATCGGACACATGTTAGAAGTGATAGAAGCGTGGGTTGTAAGACTTCCATCCGCCATTTTCAACAAAATTTCAAATGCTCATAACTTTGCAGTGTGGACACGTGGTTTTTCATTCAAACAACTTGAAACTTACAGGCATGACAGAACAGTCTTTTGCCTTTCTTATCATATTCCTAAATTATGCAAGTGAGGTTGATTGACATCTGTCAATTAGGGTTGACTTCTTTCAATCTAGGTGAAAATTTAATTTTAAAACTTCTCAGAATTTCACATGGTACATAACGTCATTTAATAGTCTATTTAATGCTGGTAAGATTAGGTCAAGTTAATGATTTTTACATTTTTTTAGAAATTTTAAAAGGTCTATGAGTTAGGCGAAAATATCATATTTGTGAGATGGACAGGCAATCTTCAAACAACTGTAAGTCCATTGTCTCTTGAAGAAATAAATTCATATTTGGTGTGTGACTAGTTCTATACGTTATGTATTACTCTCATAAATTGCAAGTCAAGAGCATGACAGGTTGGGGAGTTACAGCAGTTCCCACGAGAGCACCCCATTTGATGTCCGCCATCTTTAATTTTTTGGCCAAGAAGGTAGTATGGCCATTTTGGTGAAAATTTAAAATTTGCCTCAAACTCCTGCTATGGGTTCGTTGATCTCCAAAACGAGTCTCTAGCGCTTTAAAAGTGGTTCTGAAGCCTTAAGACCAGTTATTCTCACTTGCACCCCTAACCCATCTTACACGTTTGACCTGTCAATCTTCCAACCACCATAACTCTCTTGATTCTGCATCTAATTACTTCAAACTTCACAGCAAACTAGTTCCATGCTATGTCTATATCTCACAAAATTGCAAGTTGAGAGCGTGAGAGATTCGGTAGTTATAGCAGTTCCCATGAGAGCACCCCTTTTGGTGTCCGCTATCTTAGATTTTTTGGCCAAGGGGTAGCATGGCCATTTTGCTTCAAATTTGGCAAAGTGTGAACATGTGGTTTTTCATTCAAACAACTTGAAACCTACAGGCATGACAGAACAGTGCTTTGCCTTTCTTGTCATATTCCTAAACTATAAAGGTGATTTTGATTGACATCTGTCAATTGGGGTTGACCTCTGTGAATCAAAGCGAAAATTTAATTTTAAGATTGTTCATAGAATTTCACATGGTACAAAACGTCATTCTATGGTCTAATTGATGCTGGTAAAATTAGGTCACGCCAATGATTTTTAAAATTTTTAGAATTTTTCAAATGTCTACGAGTTAGGCGAAAATATCGTAATTGTGAGATGGACAGGAATGCATTCAATCTACTGTAACTCGATAACCCTCATTTTTTAAAGAGCTTAAAACTTACAGGCAGGACAGACCAATCCTTTGTCTTTTTTGTGATATTCCTAAGTTATGAAAATGATGTTGATTGACATCTGTCAATCAGGGTTGACTTCTGTCAATCAAAGCGAAAATTCAATTTTAAAATTTTTATAATTTCACATGGTACAAAACGTCACTCTATGCTCCATTTAATGCTGGTAAAATGACGTCATTACAATGATTTTTAAATTTTTAAAGGTCTGAGTAAGGGGAAAATATCATAATTGTGAAATGGACAGGCACTCATGCAATCTACTGTAACGCAATAACCCTCATTGTCCCAGCCTTCAAATTTGGCAAGCTGTTACTACAGGAATTGTTATATTGTATGTGTAAGTATCAAGTGAATTGATTATAACGCATAAGATTTATGGTGTGGAAAAGAAGACGAAAAGGGTTGGAAAAATCAATCTTTTTTTAAATTCCAATTAAAAGTACGTTAAATTGTGATCACATCGGTGTATTTTTAACGAAAAACCGATAAAATGTGATTTTTTAAAGAATTTTTAAAGATAATAATAGTAGGTCCGCAAAGCGTACATGGGAGACCCTTGTTACCAGAAAGTTCGTAAAAAAATCTGAAATAGAGCAATCTCTACGCCAATTACAACAAACTATTGTTAAGGAAATGGACAAGCATGTCATTATCATTTTGTGTCAATTTCGTGCAGTTTTGATGGTTTTTTTTAGCCCTGCAAAAAGAGTCAAAACACCCCATTTTTGAGCTTTTTCGGTCTCCAGCACATGCGCATTAATGATTTCAGTACTGTTGAATACGTCAAGTTGTAGTTCTTGACACGACCTTTCCAACGATGTATAACATGTCTAGATTGAATGAAATGGTGCTGAAAAAAACCTTAAAAACCTTCAAACCTTAACACTATAGTCATAGTCATAGTCAGATAGTCATAGTCATAGTTTTGGTCATGGCTATGACTTTGATAATGACTATGACCTTACTATGGTTGTGACTATGGCTAACACTATGACTATGACTGACACTAGGACGATAGATATGACTATGACCAAGAGTAAGGCCCTAGTCATAGTCATAATCATAGTCCTAGTCCTAGTCATGGTCAGACATAGTCATAGTCATAACCATAGTATGGTCATAGTCATTATCAAAGTCATAGCTATGACCAAAACTATGACTGTGACTACGGCTATGATTATGACTGATTGATACTATGACTATAAATATGACTATGACTATAAATATGACTATGACTAAGAGTTAGGCCATAGTCATAATCATAGTCCTAGTCATAGACATAGTCCTAGTCATAATCATAGTCCTAGTCATAGACAGTCATAGTCCTAGTCATAATTAGACATAGTCATAGTCATAGTTTTGGTCGTGGCTATGACTTTGATAATGACTAGGACCATACTGTGGTTGTGACTATGGCTATGACTATGGTTAGACTTCACACTGAACTAGTTGCATGCCAAGTTTATAGCTCACAGAAGAGGCAAATGAATAGCATGTCAGGTTCAAGAGTTATGGTAGTTTTCATGGGGGCATCCTTTTTTTATGTCGGCCATCTTGAATTTTTTGCCAAGGGGTAGCATGGCCATTTTGGTAAAAATTTTAAATTTGTTTGAAACTCTTGCTATAGGCTCCATGATCCCCAATAGGAACTTCTTGCGCTTTTTGAGTGGTCTCCAAACCTTAAGACTGAGTTTTTCTCACTTTTACCCCTTAGCCCATTTTTCATGTTTAGCTGGTCAATCTTCAAACTAACGTAACTCCATTGTCTCTTGAAGAAATGTATTCATATTTGGTATGTGACTAGTTCTATACCTCATGTAGTACTCTCTTAAATTGCAAGTCAAGAGCATGACAGGTTAAGGAATTAGAGCAGTTCCCATGAGGGCATCCCATTTGATGTCCACCATCTTGGATTTTTTTGGCCAAGGGGTAGCATGGCCATTTTGATCAAAATTTTAAATTTCCCTGAGCCTCCTGCTATAGGCTCAATGATCCCCAACAGGAACTTCTAGCGCTTTTTTAGTGGTCTCCAAGCCTTAAGACGAGTTTTTCTCACTTTCACTCCTTAGCCCATTCTTCATGTTTTGCAAGTCAATCTTCAAACAAACGTAAGTCCATTGTCTCTTGAAGAAAGAAATTCATATTTGGTATGTGACTAGTTCTATACCTTATGTATTGCTCTCATAAATTGCAAGTCAAGAGCATGACAGGTTGGGGAGTTAGAACAGTTACCATGATCAAGCAATGGTGTGGAACGTTTCATAGTCATAGCTATTGTCTTTGTCATAGTGATAGTCACAATCATAGTCCTAGTCGTAGGCATAGTCCAAGGCCTGCGCATTGTAGGGTTTTAAATACACCAAAATGTTCCTCTCATCAAGACCTTTCTAACGATATATAATGTTGTTTGATAAAAAAAATTTGAAGTCCATTATTCCTTCCAACAACAAAGAACAATACTCTGTCAGAACTTAAATAACACTTTATTCCGTTGCTCAAGTGTTTTTCAAAGGCTTGGGATGAAGGACCAAGGCCCAACCCTCCTCCTTTCTCATCCGGGCTTGGGACGGGCAATGGCGGAGTTAAAAACGCAACGAAAAAAAAACAAAACGTAACGACGTAATGAAAAAAAAACAAAACACAACAGGTGCTGTGTGATGTGATGCATCTGTTGTCGTGAGACTGAGAGATGTGGGGCACTCCCCGGGGGTTGGTTACCCCAGCTTGCACTTGATCCCTGACGAATCACTCAGAATCAGACAACGGGATACAACAGTGACCACACGGACTTTTTTTGTCTTTTTGTGTCTTTTTGTCTTTTTGTGTCTTTTTGTCGTTTTCTTTTTTTTTTTTTTCTAATTTTTTTCCAAGGTACCCAGCCACAGTCGCGACTAATGGTGTTTCTTGAATAGGCTGTGAACCTTGTTCCTCACATGGTCGAAGGTATTATTTCGAAGAATCTGCACCAGTTAGATGCTGGAGCAGAAAATAGATCTTATCTTTGAGTTCGTGGGGACCTTGTCCAAGTGAGCAATTGCCTCTGTTATGAGGACTGTCTCCTCGTCCGTCCATGCCTGTCCACCAGACGCCGACGAGTAATGCAACGCCACAGACATTTCACCTGTGTCTTCTTCTTCCAACTGGTGGGACAGGACATAGCTCTTGGTCCTTGCTGCGGGATCTTCTTCCGGGAGGCTTTTGAGGCCGGCAGGGTTCTGAGACTGGACCAAGTACTGCACCCTGTCGAGCACCCGCTTAACCTTCTTTTCCGAAAACACAATCTTCCCCAGGACCTCATCCTTCCCCAGGACCTCATCCTTCCCCATCATAGAGACCACACGTTTCCTCCGGGGAGCTTTTCGCTCTCGGATGTCGTCTTCAAAGACGAAGGAAAAGGCTGCCTGCTCCTCTGGAGTCAGAGAATGGGTAGACCAGTTAGAGGAAGGTTCCACAGGGTTGCTCTCCGAGGGTGCAGCCTTGGTCTTGGTCGGCGTGGATGGCACTGTATGGACCTTGATCTGCTGAGACGCCTTTGCCGCAAGCTCAGTAAGATCGTCTCTGAGGTACCTAGAGTTGGACATGGGATAAAAGTAAAACACATTGTATGAATGTCATTATGCCTGTGAGAAAAAAGTGTACACAGAGCTGCATAAAGATGGATGTATTCCTGTTACCTACCAGGTCTGCCCTGTTTTTTCACTGTGGCACATGATGCCTGTTAGGATATCCTCATTTACTAACCTGCCCACCCGCTTCTGCTGTCTCGTTTTTGTGACTAAGCACTTTTGGAAATCAGTGGCGCTTATTGCCCGGTCAGCACATACACCTGTTTTGGATACAAAGGCAGTGATCTGGCGGTTGACGGCCATTGAAAAGGTGCGCCATCGGTCTTCAGAAAGATTTTCCCAGAGTCCGATCCATCCTTCGACACTAGTGGCCTAAGTTTTGTTATGATTATCTCAAGCTGGTGCACCATGTTGAAGTCTAGGGGGATGGGCGCTGGTCCATCGACCTCCCGCTTGTGTGAAACAACCAACATAACTTTACACCCTTCCTTCTTATCTCACTTGGCCGCTTTGAACTGTCCTATGGTGGCGGTTTCAAAGCGCCAGGACCTGCCGACGCTCCTTGTCAGCTGAACGAGGATGTAGTGACGTGCGGCTGCATATTGGGCTGCACTTATGAAATGGCTGTTGGTGGCATTTTGTGCAACTTCCAAGGCGTGTATACCTTCCTGGGCTGTTTCCGAAGTCATGATATCGTTCACTTCCTTGGTGGTGAGCAAACTGTTATTATAAGAGTTATAACAATAAAGGACAATTATATCCAGGGTAGCATGTAATAGCCAGAGGCTTATGACATTAGGGCAAATAGTGTCGAAATGAACGTACTTCTCCGTTTCCTGCAAGTTTTTTGTGTATCTTGCAGCCGAGGTCTCTTTGGTTATCGTTCGCCGCCATCCTGTTAGGCTGTTGCGCACCTCATCTAGGCTCTTTCTTTCACTTTCTGGCATGTCGGGCAGGTCTGCTTTCTTTTCCCTATTGAGCAGAAGCTCAAGAAACATCTGCAGCGAGTTCAAGTAACTCTTAAGGATTCCAGCTGCCCGTTTGGTTAGATTGGGCAAAACCCAATCTAACCAAACCTTGCAGCCATCGTCCTTGCTGAGTACCTGAACATTGCTGCCAGATGGCTGCAGTTGTTCCAAGATCTTCACCTCCACTACATGCTGCAGACTGAAACAAAAGGGAGACGAAAGAGCGAGTTTTTACTTCATTTTTAAGATCAAAATCATGGAATTGCTACGAGTGGAACTGTAAAGACATGACCTTATTCTTACCGGTTGCTATCACAATGGAAGCCTGCCGCAGGTGTGATAAGGTAGGTGTAGAACGCCACCAACCATCTGTGGCGGGGCATCTGTGGTGCAAGATGTGTGAAGTATGCCTCCTCGTTTTCATCTACCTCCTGCTCATATGCAGAGTCAGACTCCTCGGAGTCCACCTTTGCGCCTGATGCAGGCGCCACAGATGGTGTTGTGGTGGGCGCCACAGATGGTGTTGTGGCGTGAGGGGGTGAAGGTGGCACCGCTTTCCTGGAGTACTGAGAAGACTCGTCTCCCTTTTCAATTTTTCTCCTCTTCAGTTTTGGTTCTGAATCGGAGTCGTCGGTGAGGGCTAGCACCTCCAATGGCCTCTTGCTGGGTTTGGTGATAGGGCTGGTCTTCTTGGGAGAGGGTGTGGATGGGTTTGGTTGCCACTCATCACTCCCCTGATAGTAACGGGCCATTTTTAAGTACGATCTATATGTCTGCCCTTTGAAGTTAGAAGAATAGTTTCAATGATAAACAAGGGGTTTCTTGGACGGCAGGTCTAGAAATGTGACAGCACCATGTTCAAAGACCCTGGTTACACTTTATATGCTACAAAACACGGAGAAGGGTTTAGACATACCTTTATTGTCCAAGTGGTGGACTTGGCGCAAATGTTGGGGGAGGAAGGCCCCGACACACGTGCAGCGTTGGACAGGGCACCACCCCCTCCTCTTTGTTTTTGAGGTACTGGCCTTGCCTCCATATTTATGGATTGCACCATATTTTACTCTACCAGCAGTGGCTAGGACGAAGAGACGCTCCTCGTCTTTGCTCGATATCTTGCCCTTCGAAAGGTGAACCTTACACAAGGAGCAGTAATGAACAAATCGAACTTGCACATGTTGAGTATGACTTGGCTATGCACATATACTGAGGCAAAGGATTAGGGTTAGGACATTACACTTAATACTAGGTTTTAGCTTTTGTAGGTGCCTGTTTAGATTCTATCCTGCAAAGCCCTTGCATCCAGGAACGAGGCATGGCTTCTTCTGGCGTTAATTTTTTGCAGGGCTTTTGATCTTGCTTGCAGGTTGCACCTTCTTTTCCCCTCCCACCCCCACCTCCTCTCCACTCTCACTCTCGCCATCGGTGCTTTGAAATACTTCCCCCAAGGTGACTTCATTGTCCTCGGATGTGTCCCTCGCCCAAGGAAGTTAATAAGTGAGAAAGGTGGTTTAGGTTTCATGTTTCGAGTTGAATACCAAAGAGTTGGCAATGAAGCTAGCAAAAGGTTACGCCAACTAACCTTGGGAGAATAGTCAGGGTCAGTCTCGGTATCCTGGCTAACGTCCCCCTCCGTGTTCATCTCTCTCCTCCTCCTTTCTACAGTGCTGTACAGCATATTCTGGTCCCTCCACAACATATCAACGGAATGACACACATCTCTCGTGATCTTAATGCTCTATCTTGCAACATGTTTGCCCTCCAGGTTGTTGTTGAGAGGAAAGCACTTTGCAGCGATGCTCTCGTAAAGATACTGTGTGTAAGACAGCATCCTGCGACATACATTTTTGATGTGGTCTAAATTGCACATTTGGCAATCAGCCACGAAATAGCAGAAGAATTTTATTTCCCTTGCAAGGGTCTGGCCCATTTCATTGGGATAATAGGCCTCGGGGGGCTTGAAAGGCACTCCTTCAAGTATTGCCAAAGCCTCCTGCACTCCATGATAGTCAAGAGATGTCTCCCTCATCAGCTTGATGAGGTCGGCCAGCTCCTCTTCGCTTTTCCTTGCTTGAGCCATTTCTAATTGAAGATTGAAGAAACACTTGACATTAGCAATAACATGAGAATCCTAGGAAGTAAAAAAGCTAAACGGTTGAAGAAAGTTGCCCATGTTCAACAAAGGAATTCCATGAACAACATCGAAGTATGAAGAAAGCATCAATCATCATTACAATACAATACAATACAATACAAT